CGCATATTTATGTTGAACAGCGGTAAGTCTTAAATTCAATAAGTGTTGTGTAGAGTTGTTGGTAAAGCATCTGCTCGGTAATTCAGAGGTCGCGGGATTGATCCCCCAGTAGGAAGGATTTTTTCAAATTTTGTATTCAAAATAATATTTTTCTACTCTGTCTGAATGTCTTGTTTATCTATCTGAGTAAAAAAAGGGCAAATCTACGTTGATTATGGTATTCATGGTGATGAAATACCAAACTTGGACTTAATATGGACGTCCCTGGGACGTTCCATCTTGTAACATCGGACGTCCCCAGTACGTCCTGTGGATGTCTTCGACCGACACTGGACGTCTTCAGGACGTCTTGTACGTCCCAGGACGTCTTCGTGTTATTTGGGGTGCAATTACATTCGAACAAATATTTCCAGTGGTGTCACAGTGGGTGAATTTATCGATATCCATGGTGAATGTCTTTGTATACACCACCGGTTTTTCTGAGTTTCATATTTTTATTAGATTGAAATAACAACTTCTTCAACATCTGTGTGCATTTTGTCTTCAGCTTAGTTTTTGAGGAAACAATAGAAATTCGATTTGACTCCAAATTTTGATGTAGGTGTTTTCAAGACTTCCATCAAGATTACTCGATAACCCCGCAATTAGAATTATTGTGGAATTTTGGGACTTCCTCAGCCTCTAACCATACTGAATTTTGGCACCATGGAAGCTTATAAAGGGGGGTAATAAATAAAAACAATTGATACTTCAAACTTCAACATCTTCTATTTCAAAAACGGAGCAAGTTTGGAAACATGATCATATGAACTTTATTTGCTAGAATGTCACAAGGCAACACCCCTTGAATTTTCTCGGTGTTTATTTATTTATTTATTTATTTATTTATTGAAAATCAAATAGGATAACGACAGACCCCAAGGTCCAGATTGTTATCCACAATTATTACATAGTTTCATGGTGTACATATAAATTAATAACCCAAAAACTAAAATAAGTTTGAAAAATTTGATAATGAAGTAAATAAGATTTATCATTGAAATGATAACAATTTGCTGAATATTCTATGCACTGTGAGAATTGTATATGTATCTGATTTTTTTTTTGAAAACATTCAGTGAGGATTGAAAAATATCTACAGAAAACAACTTTCGATTGTACAGATTTTTCATTCTATGTAGTGGTGAATTTTTTTCCTGCGTTTGTATGACAAAATGATACAGAAAATAAAGTATTGTTAGGTCTGAGAAAACGTGAAGGGACATGAATTGAGATTTTTGACAATAGATCTGGAGCGTCAGATAAATTATTTAAAACTTTATACAAAAAAAATATATCAGATTGTTCTCGACGAGCCTCTAATGAATAGAACTGAAACTGTTCCCTAAGTCTACATGTGCCTGCCAAGTGATTATAAGTACCATTAACCTTGTAGTCCATAAATCTCAAAAATTTGTTTTGAATCAACTCTAATCTGTTCTTATGCACAGCATACTGAGGATTCCACACAACCGTTGCGTAATTGAGTCTGCTGTAGACATAGGAATAAAATAATGCTTTTAATGCTTGAATGGAATTGAAGTTTTTACTTTGTCTCAATATGAATCCTAAGGTTTTGTTACTTTTCGTTACAACATAATCGATATGTTCTGAGAATGTCATCTTTCTGTCGAAAACGACACCAAGATCTTTGATTTTATCCACTTTCTTCAAAATGGTGTTATTGAAATTATAATCGTATGAGAATATATTGATATTTTTAGTAAACGAGATGATAAAACATTTGTTCAAATTAAGAAATATTTTATTTACGATACAATAACCATACAAGCGATCTAGGTCACGTTGAATTAAAAGGTTATCGACTGGACTTTTGACAGATGCAAATATTTTCAAATCGTCCGCAAAAAGTAGGAAATTTACAAGTTTCAAATGATGACGTGATGTCATTTAAATAAATCAGAAAAAGTAGGGGCCCTAAATGTGATCCTTGTGGCACACCTGAAGTGACAATATAAGAATTAGATTGATATCCATTAGCTATAACAATTTGTGACCGATTAAATATATATGAAGCAAACCAACGGAGCAGATCACCGTGTACACCAATCTCAGACAATTTTGACATCAATATGTTGTGATTAATTTTGTCGAAAGCTTTGCTGAAATCCGTGTACACGGCATCCACTTGGGTTTGGCAATCCATTGCAGATAAAATAAATTCATTGTATAACGTGAGGTTAGTTTCAATGGACCTTTTCGGAATGAAACCATGTTGTTCAGGAATGATACATTCTTTAAATTTATAAATTAGCATTTTGTGTACAATTAGTTCAAGTAATTTACTTAGTATATTTATTTTGCAAATCGGTCGGTAATTACTTATGGAACATTTTTCACCATTTTTGAAAATTGGAACTACGTATGCCTCTTTCCATTTTTTCGGAAATGTGCATTCGTCAAAGGATCTGTTGAATATAATAGTAAGGGAAACATATAAACTGGATGCACAGTTTTTGATAAAAAATGATGGAATACCATCAGGACCACAGCCTTTATTTTCATCGAGCTTGCAAAGAATGTCGTGAACTTCATTTTCTGTGACGCAGATTTTGTTAATCAGGCACTTGTCTGTTTTCGAAAAGACTTGTGATGTTCGATCGTAAGGTTGAAATACACTTCTGAAAAATTTTGAGAAAAGGTCACAAACTGCAGCACCGTCTGCGGATTGATCATCTAGTTTCATTGAATTGGGTAGACTATCATTTCTATTTTTTGCGGATACGAATTGCCAAAATTTTTTTGTATTATTTGGTATATCGTTTTGGACAGTATTGATAAAATTTTTGTAGTCTTTATTTATCATTTGCTTGGTTCTGCGTCGTAATTGACGAAACAACAAGTAATCTGCTGGAGAATTCAAAGATTTCCATTTTTTATGGGCTTTATTTTTTTTCTGTTATTAATTTTAGTGTATTTTGGGTGAAGTACGATGGAAAATCACTGAAAACTCTTTTTTTGGGTATGAATTTTTCAATGAGATTATAAATTTTTTCATAGAATACTTCTATGCAATCATCCACGGTTGAAATCCTCTGAAAGATATCAAGCCAATCGATGTTAGAGATTTCAAAATTTAAAGCATCGTAATTACCTTTCCTGTAATTGTTAAGAGATTTTATGTTTGACTTAAGTTTTTTCAGCACAGACAGTTTTAGGTTGAATTCTATACTCACATGATGAGGGTCTTCTTTCACTAGAGGCTCGCCGTGTTGAAGTTTATCAATTACTAATTTGTTACATAAAATAAGATCTAGTATTCTGTTGTTGACATTTTTTAGATTGTTGAACTGTGAGAGACCATGAAAGCATAGCATATCATTTAGTTCTATAAATTTTTGTTCCACCACAGTGGGAATTAAGAATGAGCAGTTTGGTTTAGGTTCCCAAGAAGTATGCGGCATATTGAAATCCCCACAAATTAGGACTACATCATCGGATATCTCATGGAATATTCTGTAGAGGTTGTTCGTAAAACAAACTAGGGCGTTATCATCTCCGGGGGGCAGGTATACACAACATATATGAATTTTGCTACTATTTGGTTTATAAAAAGTTATCCATATATCTTCGGTTTCCGTTTGCCACTCAGGGTGTTCCACCACTTGCAGCGCACCCCGAGTCGCGATTAAAGCACCTCCACCATCACTTTTTACACTTGTGGAACTCTCACGATCTCTGCGGTACACGGAAAATTTATCATCGAATATTTCACTAGTTGTCACCCCACTATTTAGCCACGTTTCTGTTAGGCATATGATATCATAGTCACATATGAGGGTGTTTAGTTTGAATTCATGTGTCTTTGATCGAACACCTCTGAGATTTTGGTAGAAACACGTTAATTGTGTGAAGATGGTTATTTTTCACAGGATGGAGTCAATGATAATTTCGCAAATTCAAAGTGATTTCAAGTCGTCCTCGCAGTCGATTCGTTTTACGTTGGATCCTTCATCTTTTCTTATCAATATGCTGCCGTTTTTAAATCTCTTGTTTTTTTGTACAGTGATTTGTTACCAGGAGACAAGTGTTCGACGATGAATAAGTTGTTAGAAATTCCTTCAATATTTATTATGCGACTAGTAGAGGCCATCCTTTTAACCTTTGCAGCAGATAAAATATCATCACGTATTTCATATATTTGACGACGATATTTTTTTTTGGCTTGTTCGAGCTGAAGGATGCTACTCTATGGGCGGAGTCTATCATGCTTGAAGTAATTTGTATTCCTAAAGACTTGTGTATGGTGTCGATGATCTTATAGATATCTTCATTTTTCTTATCTGGTACCCCTTGTATCTCGATATTATTCATGCGAGAAAATTGCTCAAGATCACTGACTTTTTTGTTCAATGATTGTACATTTTTTGTTAAGTATTGATTGTCGGTCTTCAGTTTTTCAATGTTCTTGATTTGATCATTGAAACTTTTAAGAGTAGATTCAAAATCAGATATCTTATCGGTACAAAAAGTTATCGATTTAATCAGGTCTGCTTGCGTTCCGCGGAGCTCCTTCACTTCGCATCTTATGTCTTGCATACAATTCAAAATTTGTTGTTGCATCTTTGATTCAATAGTAGTTCCTGGAGGTGTTATTATTATACACTCTGTATAGAAGAGGCCCAGAAAGTATGATTGTTCAAAATCTTCCTGTATATCATTACTGGAAACAGTCATCTAAAATCTGATGAGCCCATCTTGAGTTTCATATGCAAGGTTATATCGTGAATAACAACCGGTAAACATGGCAGTCTTTACCAAAATAGAATGCAATGTACAGTTATTATTTCCTTTTTTCCAACTAAATATGTGTGTATCCATTTTGAGTAAGTAATCGATTTTCAATTAAAACTGTATGGTTATGGTTCAAATACACATGACTGAAAACAACCTGCTGCACGAGTTTATGCTGAAAACAAACAACAAATGACAGTTCAAAGTAGTGAAAAAAGTCATCAGGGAAATATTTAATTATAAACTCGAGTTTGACAAATAACCAGGGATAATCCGTAGACGGTTCGATGAAAACAGCACTATTTCACTGGGTAGAATTCTTCTGGAATTGGTCTACTCCTGAAAATGAGAATCAAAATGATTTATTATTTCTTGAGATAGAACGAAAGAACGTTAGGTATAGTCTATCCAAAGTCAATTGAAGTTCCTTTTGAAGTGAATGCAGTCGCGGCTCGAAACGCTTCAATTGACTTTGGATATACCATATCTATGTCTCATATGAATCCTTTCTAGAAAGATGACTTGAGAGCAGCTAATCAAATTTCGTTTCAAATTGTTCAGGGAAGTAGATCAGGAAAATAATATCTCATCAATTTAGATGGAAATTCAGTAGATCAATTTGATTGTATAACGACATTTATACAGGTTGTTTCAAAATTCAGTGCCAAGATTTCATTATTCTTCAGGTCGAAATAAGACTTTTTTTCAACATAAATATGTGACTGCAAGCGCTTCGTTATTGATTCACGAAGCTTTGAAGTTCCTAGATTTTTCATTTTACAACAGCTCTTTAAAAAATAGCCAAGGATCGTTACACGAAAAAAAAAGGAATTGTTGAATCAAGCGAAATTTGATTGAATGAAGCAAATAGCACGAATACAACGAAACAACTGAAAGTAACTTCTATTTATTTTGTTCGAATGACAAATCATTTTGAATTTTATGAAATAGATCAGATATCATAGTATTCCATCGGAACAGGTATAATGGGATACTTGGTATATTGATACATCTATATCAATATATTTTCTTAGATAAGAGCTTCATAATCATTGAGATATAGATAATAATGATAACAATAATAATAATAATAATAATATAAGTTTATTCTAAAACGTTCACAAAATATACATTGGAACATACAGATAGGTATTTTGTGGGTATTTTGAATAAACTGGAAAAAACCTTATGAAGTGAACCTTGTAGTGAGGATAAGAAAATAAATGTACATAGGTCAATAAATATTCAACAATATTGAATTATCACAAGGGAAAAATTGTTTCATTAAGAAATGAGACATCATGGTATTTAATTCATATATAGTGTACTGATCATTTCATTCAATTCACATAATTAATTATATTCATTTGAACTTATTCACGAACATTATTTAGATGTTTCTAATTATATTATTGAATGTTATTTCAAGAGATAAAATCATTTTTAGGGGAGTCTAATATCCAGTTTTTTATTTTTATCGTATTGGATTGTAGTGATTTTGTTTTTATGATTTCATTTGGAATCTTATTATATAGATAAGAAATTGAAAATTTATAATTTTTACGTCTAATTGACGTGCTCGTTTCATATCTCAATGTTATGTTATTTTTATTTCTTATGTCTTATGTTCTTTGATGAATGTCCTTTTTATTTTTGAAAATATGAAATAGTAAATTGTATATATAAAGTTGATTCATATCCTTCTCCTTAGATTCCTTATATAGAAGTTCAGTTGGAAACAAATAATCTTTTCCATAAATGATTTTCAAAATCAATTTTTGTGCAACATAAGAAAAGAATTAGTAATTCTGAAGTGAGTAATCAGTGAAAAAAAGTCTGTACATGCAAAAATACGAAGATAATATGATATATATAGGCTATGATAAACGCTGCATCGTAAGTAATGTACAGTCGCATTAAAAAAAAACGTACAAGTATATTACAGAGAGAAATTAACGTCATCCTATTCTGCATTGTTCACCAAATGTTGACAGTATAGTTGTCATAGGTTCTCGAAAACACAAAGCATTGGCTGAGCCAGTTTTACACAACTAGAACTAGGATCCCGAAATCCTCTCTTTTCAATACTTTTACGTTTTTTTATTGAATACGCCTGTATCAAACAATAGTATATAAAGAATGATGTATGAGAAATAATTATATGTATTACAAGATTATTTGTGTTATGGATAATAGGGCAGCTATACAGTGTGGGGACTGGAATAAATTCGTTAGCGGGGAGGTGAATATTTTTTCTAAAAATTTCCGACGAACGTGAACGGTTTAATATATATACATACCTTTTGCAAGCAATTTCGAGAATATACCCCTCCAGGGGCATCTGACATCATCGTCAACATAATTTTTTCGAATGTAATCCTATGGCTTGTGACCCCTCATCAGAACGCTGTTGGAAAGAGGAATCCAGTGTACTAGTCAAATTTGAGAGGTATATCATTTTCAAATTCGATTTATTTTCAATGTATCAATCGCTCAGAATGTGTGTTGAACAATTGATGGTAATGCCACAACTGCTATTTGCTATTGTATTCAATACGTGTTTTTATTGAGCCGTATAAAGAAAATCAGTTCGTTTGATGTATTTACAAACTGGTGGAAATGCCCCATATCACTGTTACTGGAGGTCGAAGTTTAGATACAAACCTTGAAAATATATTGAACTCCAGAATGATATTTTGATTTTATGCGACACCCAAACGTACTGCAAACTGAAATAAGATCAATACAATATGGATTCCTCTTTCAACCAGCTTTCCAATGAGGGATCGCAATGCCATAGGGTTGCATTTGAAAAAAACATGTTGGGGTTGATTCTAGCTACTCCTGATTACCCATATTGCTCGCCAAATGCAGGTAAATACATTTAAAGGTTGATATGTCTCGCGAATTTTCAGAAAAATCATTCATTTCTCCAGTAGCGAATTGATTCCAGTCAAAGTATCTACCCCCAGCAGTATATCATACAATATTGGAGGTCAAATATGAATGCATGTGTTATTTGAAACTATTGAAACTCAATGCTTCGATGTGAGTGAGTAGTATGTGAAAAAGATTTACATTGAGAGAGTTTCTACTTGATTTTTGTAGAAATATGATAACTTACTATTGAAAGCACAAGGAGCTGTACAATTTGCGCAATCATCATCACTGTCTTCTTTCTTTACAATTTTTTCAACAATATTATCGAATTTTTCTGAACAACATTGTTCGATAGCTCCTTCACAACACGAGTCACAAGAAGGAACAGACTTTCGACTAGTAGATTGCCTTTCACTTTTAATCTTCCTGACATCCATGATAGTTTCTATTTGTCTCGCATCCATAATTTTATTGCAAACACCATCACATGGAATACACTGACCCGAAAGGGGATTGTCCTCGGGCAAAATGTATCTAGATTTGATCACGTCCATACAATTACATTTAGAGGATGTGCAGGCGACAGGTTCATTTTCTTGACTGATAGTCTTCTCCATTTTCTGGAGGGAGCATAAGACTTCTGTTGCTAATTTGTCTCCCGCAGTAGAAGTTTGCAGATTGTCACCACTATCAGTGAGAAATTTGATCTTATTCATGACAGTGTTCAGTAAGTTGGTTATTGCCAATTTCAAATTATTATTATCGGAGATAACTTTTTCAACAAACTGTTTCAAATCTGCAACCTGGTCGGATAGTTCCTCGTTTTTACATTGCAAGCATTTAACTTCATCGTTATTTCCGCGCTTTTTATTTTCATCGACAGGAGGAGTCTGGTTAGTAGTATTAGCAATTTTTGTTTGATAAGTTGAACTCTTTCTTCTTTCATCAACGCCTTCAGACTGATCGGTTACTAATGATTTTATTTCTTGTGAAACTTCCTTCAATTTCAAGAATTCTTCTCGGCTTATATTAGGCTGCTTAAAGAAACCTCGCAATACTTCGAACTGTCTCGTTATTTTCTCGAGTTCAACGTCTTTTTCTCTACTCTCTTTCAGCAAATTATTGTATTCGTCTTGTAATCGTGCTATTTTATCTTCAATCTTTTTCTGTTCAGTGTTCTTGTTGAGTAATCGAGAATTTTCTTCCTCTAGGTCTTCGCTTCTTCTTCTAGTCTTAGAAATCTCCTCTTCCAGTAAGTTCTTATCTGTTTTGTGGGTTTCAGATTCGCATGTCTGTTCTTCTAGATTTCTTCGTAAAAATTCCAAATCCTTCTTCAATCTCTCATTCTCCTGGTGTATCAACTTAATTTCGTCTTCACAGTCTTCTAAAATTTTGTTGCTATTGTCAATGCATTCTTCTAGGTTGACTATTATGCATTGCTTATTGTTCAGCTCTTCTTCCAGATATTTTATCCTGTCCTTCAACTCCTCATTTCCTTTCTCGATTTCTCGGATGTCACAGTTCTTCTCTGGATTCATACAATCACAATTGTTAACCATCAACTTATATTCTTCGATAGAATTTTTCAAATCGTCAATTTCTTTTGCTTGAGCAATGTTTACATTTTTCAAATTGAGTATGTCGCTATCGAGGTGCTCTTTTTGCAAATCATCTGCATTCAGGGATGTCTGGATTTTATCCATTTCATAACAGCAGTTCTCAAGGCGTTTCTGTTTCTTTTTATCTTGTTCCTCTAATAGTTCAATTCTCTTTTCTAAAATTAACACTTTCTTTTCCGTATCATTGGATGCATCTATCAGTGCACTCTCTAGTTCATGGAGTTTTGTCTCGAGCATTTCATTTTCTTGTTCCAGTCTCGCTTTTTCTGCTTTCAAATTTTCAATGGCCAAATTCTTTCCTCCTGACTGCTCAGATTCATCTAAATAACTAGACATATCGGATTTTCTTCTCGTGAGTCTGTCGATTTCGGTTTTGAGTTGTTTGATTACATCATCTTTCTCTGTTGCAGAGTGAGAAAATTCCTGTAGCATTTTACTCTGCCGTTGATTGCTTTCCTGATTACTTCTCTGTAACTTGGAATTCTCTTTTTCAGTAGCAGTCAGATCATTAGTCAAGGTCTCTAATTTCTGTCGATAAAATTTATTTTCTTCTTCGTATTCCGCTATTTCAAGCTTGGCTTCATCGAGATCATGTTGTAGAGAAATAATTTTTTCTTTGAGCCTCTTCAGTGCATCATCATATTCTTCAATGTTTGCTATTTTCGTTGGTGTTGAACTTACTGATCGCAAATTTTGGCTCCGCCGTATTTCGCTTGGATGATCAGAGTTTTGACTCAGATTTTCCTGAGCTGCAGTAGTGAGTACAGTGGGAGTTTTCAAATAGGGAGAGTAAGCGAGTGTACAAGAATGTTTAGTATAATGGTGAATTGGGCCAGATATGCGGGTGACTTTCAAACTTGGTCTTTGTGTTCCTTCTATTGATTTCCGAGTTCCAACAGTCTCCTCACCACGTTCAGTACTATTGATATCTATGGGTTCGAGGCAATTATTATTTCGACTATTCCGTTCTACTGAAACAGATGGAGATTGTGGAATTTGCAAATGGTATTCAGTTATGTAATTTTCATTTTTGCCCTTCTCTTCAACATCTTCCAATACAGGTGTAGTCGTTATTGGTGTATACTGGGAAAATCGACTGCAGCTACCAGATTTCTGACTTCTTCGATCATCAATTTCTTTCTTGTATATGCTCACTTTATTTTCACTCTCTTCTAGATCGCTCTGTACTTTCTTCAGGTCATCATTGAGTTTATCCTTCGCTTTGAGATTCGATTTGTTCTCATCAGTAACTATTGCTGGTGTATCTCGTAGATTGACATTAGTCAATTCGAGATGACACAGTTTTTCTTCCAAATCACATTTACATTGGTTGTGGTGCTCCTTCAATTGGTCCAGCTCATGTTGTAGCTGCTCATTCATTTGTTTCAATTGTTTCAAGTCAGAATTGCCCAATAGATATCTTAACTTCTTCGCCTCCTCCAGTAGTCTATCTCTTTCACCTAACAACATACTGTAAGAGTGCTCATGTTCATCTAGTAATGGCGGCTCATTTATACTTTTGCTATTTGCAATATCATTTTCGAGTTGCTCTATTTTTTTGAGATGTCTAACTATTTCTTCAAGCAAGGAATCGTTGGTTTGTTTCAGTTCCTCCAGTTCAGTATTATCATTCTCTGAAAACCTACTAACAATTTCCTGCTGTAGTTGCTCTGACATCCTCTTATATTTTCCCAATTCATCATGCAGTTGCTCTTTCTCGTCATCATGTTTTTCTATAATGTCATCCTTCCGTTCATTATCTGATTTATAGGTATCTATGACTTTTTTGAGTTTTATGTTTTCTTGATGATATCTTTCTTTTTCCACTTTTAATTCCTCTGTATCTAGGGAAGGTTTTTGATTATTGATCAGTTTATCTTTCAGTTTCGCTATTTCTTCATCTTTATCATTCATTGCTTGTATACATCTGTCTCTTTCGCAACATATTTTTTCTATATGAGTTGATAAACTCCCAATGTCGAGATGGTTTTTCTCCAGAACTTCAAGACACTTGGAGAGATGCTCTTGTTTGGCAGTTAGGTTTTCGCGAATATTTTTGTTTTCCTGTCGCAATTTTTCAACTTCGACTCTGAGATTGTCTATATTATCGATTGAATCATCTATCAACTCTGAAGTTCCTACACTGGTATGATTAGCCTGACAAGATTTATTGGCACAATCTTCGTATTTTGTGTTTTTTAAGTCTTCCAGAAAATTGGACAACAATAACTTGAGCGAGTGGTTCTGAGTTTGCATGATATTTTCGATATGGGTGAAATCGTCGATAGCATTCTGTTGTCCATTTCTAAGGGCTGAAAATGAATATATATTATTCTACGGATGATAAATCGGAAAGGTACATCACTCTTTTTTGTTCAGTCCAAGTTGCTTCTGTAGAGTTTGGAGGGTATCGAGTTGCGTGGATAGTGTTTTCTTCTCTTCCAATAATCTTCTGTTTTCTGCTTCTATCTACCAATGAATATTTTAGAATACAAAATGGGTCGTTCAGATTGACAATGAAAATGTTGATTAGATACACATGGATGAAAACCCAAAGTCATCTCCACAACATTCATTAGAATCAATCTCAAAGGAACATATGTATCGGGCTTATATAAGCCCATCATCAGCCAATAGAAAATATTATGAAGAAAGTAGGCATACGAATAGTATAGTTGATAATGAAGCAAACAAGGCAAAATGGTCCATGATTGTCACTGTAAAATAATATAATTTTGTTGTTTAAAGATCGTGTATATATTTTACAAGGGCCCACGTGCCCTTGAATTACCGGTGATAATTAAACTTTGAAAAATCAAACTAAAAGTTTGATGAGGTATCAATATTAACCTGTTGAATTAGATATTTTTCCGAACATTCCAATTCGGAATGTACAAGGTGTTGCGAAATTTGACCAGTAGGAGATGAGGGTCTTGGAACCTGCCCCTCCCCTCCACTTTTCTCCAGACCGCTTGACTTGGCCTTGCGGTAATAACACATCTACAATATCAAGATTGAATGAAGTATTATATACAGGGTGTTTGAGTTGAAAATCAATAGAAACAAATTAACAGGGTGACTCACATGTTGACCACCCCAATTTAGGTGGTTTTAAAAACGATCGATGACACGTGACATCCCGGTGCTTATCGAAAGCAATCGTTCAGGTTCAACTGAAATTCAACAGATGAGAAGCCAGGTCATCCGACTCATACGAGCAGGCTATCTGCAAGCTGATCATTCAATTCAATAGGAAGTGTTTGAGCTGAATATGAATTTGAAAAATATACAGGGTGACTAACGGATAGATCACCCCGCTTTAGATAGGAAAAACAAGATGGAAGAAAAAAATTCGCCCTATGCGAATATCAAAACAAGCCTCGACTCAAACTGATCTAAGTTAGTGGCAGAGCGTCAATATTTCGCCCTCGTCCAAAGATAATATCCGATGAACCAGTATGAAACTCATGTGGTGGTCACACTACAAGTATTCTAATTCACATGTTGAAATTCACACTGGTCCATAGGATATTATATTCAGAGGGAGGCGAATATTATGGAAAGTATTGACGCTTTGCCACTAACTCAGATCAGTTTGAATCGCGGCACGTTTGGATATTCGCAATCGCGAAAACTTCCCCTATTATTATTTCTCGTTTCACTAGTTATCACATGGCGGGAGAATGTTCGGAAAAATAGCAGCAAATCAATCGCAGTGCAGTGGATTTCGCTCAAAATGAGGGGTGGCTCAGGTGAATTTTTTAAATATACCATTTAATTGGTATCATATGGCATAATTCTTGACTTGTTATGAAATCGCGAAATCGAGTGCAAATTTCCGCACAGGATAGTGCAATTTTTCAATCATTTTGCTCAGGGCAGTGGATGGCACAGGTGCCGGTCGATAAACTATGATGTTTCTGCATGCTTTGGGACATATATCATTTTGATGATCGAAATTTGCAGCCTTTCCTTGGACTATATTATGCATACAAGAAGTAAGATTCGGCGAACCGAATTTCAATGTAGATATTGTTCATACTTTCTGGAATGAACCATTACCTATAGCCTACTCACATTAGACCAAGTCCTTTTGAGTCGGTTTATGAATACATTCAGAGAAGTGCACAAAAAATGGCCAGTGCTTGATCTTTTGAATTATTCTAGATCGGATTTCGAAAATTGGTGGGTAGCAAGTATACCAAATTGTTCTTTTATTGACAAAACAATTTTTGTTCAATCACTTCCGGACCCACCAGAAACGACTCTAATTTCCGATGTTTCAATATGGGACACCCTGTCTTTCATTCCATAATCGGTTAGGGATTATTATGACCAATTCAACGATACCGGGTTTGATAGGGTTAATTCAAACGACTACGAAGATATTATTATAGAACAAAAATTGGTTTGTCAATCAATCAATTTGGTATACTTGCTACTCACCAATTTTCAAATTCCGATCTCAAATGATTCAGAAGTTGCAGCACTGGCCGTTTATTGCGCACTTCTCTGTATATGAGGCAATTCAATGTTCGATATTTCGAGTATACAGGGTGGCCCACGGTCGATGGTACCTTAGACGTATACGGAAAACGGTACATTGAATTATCCTGAAAATTTGGTTACTCTAATAAGCGTTTGTGATCTAACGATTCAAAATATTTTCAGCGATGCAGCGTTGCCACTTTTACCAAAAAGTATAGCATCATCTTTGTTATTTCAAATGGAACACTCTGTATTTCATTGCGTTTTTAGATTCTTCTCGAAGAGCTAATTTCATCAATGTATCACACTTGGGGTCTAGCAGGAATTATTACAGAGATATAGGGTGTTCAAAATCGAGATTTTTCAATTTCAGGAATATTTTGTGTAGAAACTATTCATCATTAGTCAAAACGGCTAACATGTCCCCATATTAACTTTCGATTAACTATCTACCGACATTTACTTGGAAAAAATACAGGATGGTCCAAGATTCAGAATTTTGATCACCCTGTATCTGTTCCAATTAAATGTCAGTAGATAGTGAATCAAAAGTTAAGATAGGGACATGTACTATTTGAAATAACAAAGATGATGCTACTTTTTGGTAAAAGTGGCAACGCTGCTTCGCTGAAAATATTTTGAATCGTTAGATCACAAACGCTTATTAGAGTAATCAAATTTTCAGGATAATCCAATGTACCGTTTTCCGTATATGTCTAATGTACCATCGACCGTGGGCCACCCTGTATAGCTTGCAGTCTCATAGAAGCTACTCTAACTGGAAAACATGTGGATTTCACATACTTCATTTATCTTTCATAAAGAGCTATTTCTGTGATATGCCTATAAAATTTCAATCCGATACCTATATAATTTTCATTTTTCGAAAATTAACTGAACATAATGATGAAAACAATTCCAACACAACTCAGAAACATTGGTATTATCTTAACCAACATTATCATCATCACTTTGGTGCTAATGAATATCATTCGATAATTATTGGGTAATTTTGCACTTATCATGCAGAAACACTAATTTGATAATGAAAATGTGAACAAACCAAGCAAACCACTATTAGTTTATCAAGATATTTCACGAAAGAGTTCTGAATTTCACCTTTTTTATCCGCTTGTCTTGGAACTATTTGCCCTGTTTTTTTCGTCATTGGCCAATTTATTTATCACGTTGTACTTCAATGATGATTTGATTTTTCCATATTTACTATTTGGTGAATAATCACAGTTGAAAGGGACGGCCATTCGCCATTCTGCCATCAGCCATTCAATTATCAAGGGAAGGTCAAACATGCAAGAATTTACTTCCAACGTGGATAGGTAAATAGGGAAACAATATTTTTTTCTGACTATTTCACTCTTGATCTCGAGAACATATCAGAATCGACCATTTGCACGGTTTCTTCTGTATTCTAGCGATATTTTTTGTTTATCAAATTTTATCGGACTTGCTCTACCAATAGAGATGCCGAATTGACCCACACGTGACCAACAAACCTCGTTTATCAGCGATAAAATTTTGACATCGTGTCTGGTCAAGATTGCTTTGGATTCAAATCTGCCACAAGAGACAATAACCTAAGTACCTACTTCATTTTATTTACTTATAATTCGCGTTAGTGAGACATTTTGTACGAAAGGCGAGACAATTTCATTCTGGCTGGACGTTTCATGTGTAATTAAATAAGTTTGCATATTTGTTGACGGTCTGACACAACAATACTAGAATTCAAATTCCTTTTTAAAGTAATCTTCTTCAGTCACTCAAGTTATTGTAACTAATATAATTACCAGGTGATGTGGCTCAACTGATAGGGTTGTTGCGCGGTGATACGAAGGTCGGTGGTTCAAGCCCGTCGGCGACAAATATATATATATTTAATTATTTCATGTCACATGAATTCAATTCATTTTGTTCGAATTGGATATCAAATGTATACACTCTTCTGAGAGCAACCATCTCCAAGATAATGAAAAAAATACTGTTAATCAAAATTGTACATTCCACTTTGTGAACAACTATAAGTAGGTACCTAGTTAATTTCTAAAAGAGTAAATTCTGTATTTCATTACTATCATTATGTTCTTCTTCGCAGTTCGAGTTGGAATATACTTAAATTATGTTTCCTATTTCTTATATATATTGTTTTATTCAATCATGAAATAGTCATACGAATACAACTCGTGATACTATTTTTCCTGGAAATATTCGTCGATTGACATACTCCAGCTTGCTGCTCTAATTTCTAGGCAACAAGCTGTCGTAACAATCACCGAATATTTCCGGCAAAATATTATCACTTGTGGTATTATATATGAAAATTCATCACACAACTAGTTTCAGAATTTAATGTGGAAAAAAACATTGAAGATGGAAGAATAACATTCAGAATAATTTGTGAAACGTTATTCAAGAAAAATTTGTCTAGAGGTTTATGTTCTTTCAAAATCTGTTGACATTTGACATTCGTTTGACGTCTGAAATTGAATGTCTGTCAGCTGGTATGATTAATCAGCACATATGAAAAACTCACAAGAAAATCATATTTCTTGTTGATTTTCCTATATAAAATGGGTCATTGAAGTACACCTCGTCTTTAGTGAACATGTCGCAGTTGGATGGTATGAGCGCTCCTACTGCAGCGGTGATTAAGAGAGCTGACACTGTCCATGTGCGACATGTTCTGTGAAGGCGAATATACATCATGAGTATATATTATGAGTGTGTCCAATGACAAAATAGAAAGAGCAAGTAGCTGTAAATCAGTATATGCGTAACCAAATGAATGCGGAAAAAGAAGGTGAAATTTAGAACTTTTCCGTGAAATATTCAAAAAAATAGGGATTCAGCCACATTTTCATTATCGAATTCGTGTTTTTGGGATAGAAATACGTGAGTACCAAAAACAATATTTAAAAAAGGTCAAACTGCATTTATCATGCGATGTTTTTCTTGTCGAAAATTTTGTTTGGCAATTACGTATTTTTGTCTGAAAAACACGAATTTGATAATGAAAATGTGAACAAACCACTATTTATCGAGATATTTCAAGAAAGAGTTCGGGACCCCGCACTAAACTATAGGGAAAATGGCTCTCGATGAAAATCGCTGAATTTTTGGTATGTTGCAGACTTTGATATACTGAACAGATATTCCATTGAACGAACCTCAAAAAATTGACAGTTTTTCCGATATAGACCTCCAAATGTCATTTTTTTGACAAAAAAAAGTATCTGAAAATGGTTGAATTTTTGGCATGATGTAGATAGGAATGAACTGATGAAAAAATCCAATGGACCTAACCTCCAAAAATTGACAGTTTTCTCGATATTGACCTCTAAGTGTAATTTTTTCAGGTAAAAAAATATCAATGAAAATGACTGAATTTCTGGTATGTTGAAGATAGTAATGAACTGATAAAAAAATCCAATTGACCTAACCTCAAAAAATTTACAGTTTCTCGATATTGACCTCCAAGTGTATGTACGTATGGAAAATAAGATATAATAATAATAATAATAATAATATGTTTATTTTACACACAAGTTAAGATACAAAAAAATTGAGCATATAAACATAGGTGGATCACAGAAGTGTATGGTAGCTGTGAGCTACCATACTACTTGTACGTGATTTGAACAATGGAACAATAATCAATAGACAAAGTTGCTGTTGTCGAATTAGTATTTGGCCTTTCATCTTTCTGAAAACAAATCTTCTTCAAATGATACATGCACAGATGAAGAAAACCGAAGAGGGGATGTAATTAAATGAATATTATTCAAAATATGGTTATAATCTTTCCGAATTCAATGGGGTTGTAGGTATACACTCTAGTCGAATTAATGCCATATATCTATTTCATTTTGATCATTTCATCTATCATAAAATTCGATACACCCCAAATATATTTTTTTAATAATCAAAATTATCGCCTCTCATCAACACTATAATCTATAATATAGCCGCCGATGACGTGACATTGACATACCGATACCGATAAGCACTTTTAGATTTTTATTGCTCAACAACCAATGAGAATATTTCCAAATTCTTCATAGAATTAAGGATTTATTTCCACCGTAGGAGTGGAGTGTTGTGTACTGAAGTATACACAATACATAAATCGTATAGTATAATTGCAATGGATTGATCGCGGTATATGACATCATCACGCGTTGTCCCACAATTTTCATGTTATGAAATATCGTGAATTTCAATTATTATTTACGATATGTAGAGATCTGAAGAGAGAACGGTCTGCGACAGTGAACGAAAAATTTCTATATTTTGAGGTTATAGGTCAATTGGATTTTTTCATCAGTTCATTCCTTTCTACAACATATACCAGAAATTCAGCCATTTCCAGAGATTTTTTTTCTTGAAAAAATTTCATTTGGAGGTCAATATCAAGAAAACTGTCAATTTTTGGAGGTTAGGTCAATTGGATTTTTTCATCAGTTAATTCCTATCTACAACATACCAAAAATTCAAACATTTTCAAATACTTTTTTTCTCGAAACAATGACATTTGGAGGTCAATATCGAAAAAACTGTTAGGTTAGTTCAATGGAAGATCTGTTCAGTATATAAAAGTCTGGAACATACCAAAAATTCAGCGATTTTCATCGAGAGCCATTTTCCCTATAGTTTAGTGCGGGGTCCTTTCGCCTTCTTTTTCCCCTTGTGTTGGATGCATTCACAGCAACTTGCTCTTCCTATTTTGTCATTGGACACTTTATATACTCATGATGTACATCAATGACACATTTTTATATAAAAAATTCAACAGGAAATATGATTTTCGAGACGTTTTCCATATTTTGTGAACAAGCATACCAGATGACGCCCATTTAATCAAGAGTCAATCCAAATACGAGTCAAATGTCAACTTATTGTTTTGAATGACATCACACACGCCATTATTTTGAATGATATTCTTCCTTTTTCCCCCTAAATATGGATAAAAGAAGGGCAAATTCTTCTAAATGCGCTCCAGCAGACATTCGGAAAAGTAAGTGAAATTTGTGACTTTATAATATCTTAGTAAATAATGGTTTGTTCACATTTTCATTATCAAATTCGTGTTTTTTCAGACAAGAATGCGTAAGTAGGTACCATACAAATTTAACGAAAAAAAAACCATCGCATGATAAATGCAGTTTTACCAAAAAAAAAAACCATCGCATGATGAGTGCAAAATTACCGATCACTGTTTTGAGCCTTACCTTCCTATAAATTTCCTTCAAACTACTATAATCGTGTACCGTGGAACAATGAATGAATCGGAGCTTCTCATAATCGTCAATGGAACTTTTGTATAAATTTTGAATCTTTTGTATCTCGCGTTGAAGCATTTCAATGAGAACATCTCTCGACGAAACGGTCTGTTCATTTTCTTTGAGTTTCCTTTTGAATACTTCACAATCTAGGCAATCAAATTGTATATTCGAAGAACAGGGAACCTGAAATGAGATTCAATCAGCTTAATAACACTATAATATACATTGATTTGTGCTTTACCTTACTTTTATCGTTGTTACATGCTGGTGGAATTTGTTTATTCGTACAACTATTTTCTAGCACCATTTTGATAGAATTTTGTATTGTGGTATTCCATACTTTATTGTTGACTAAACTAGTTGGGAATGATTCGTTCACCTCATTATTTCGAAATTTATAATCAAATTCATTGATATATTGACATTACAGTATTTCTGACAACTGTTTTGTACCATAATGTCACAGAACAAGTACAGTCGGGTGCAAAGAACATGTCGCCGTTCTTATTGCTGAAGTGCCTAGATGTGCTCTCACGACATGTTCATTTCATCTAGCTGTACCTGTAGTAGAGAAGTAAATGGTCATCAAATGAGGAATGTTGGTTGAATCCTGGAATGGTTATTTTGCTGTTCAAGGTCCAAACTAAGATAATCTGGCACTTCTACTATTTATTTTCATGACATACAGGGTGAGACAATAGTGCGTCCTAGTTTGTCGCTGAGGACATATTGGAAGTAAAAAATTGGTGTGATGCGAATAAATTATTATTCAATATTTCTAAAACATGTATTTTGACGTTCAAGTGCACTGTTGATGATACATTTTTGGGAAACTGAAGAACTTGTACTCAATCATCGGCTAAGTTTTCAGGACTCTATGTTGGATGACAGTCTCTCATTCAACACCCACATTACAAATTTATGCAAAAAATTATCTTCTGGTAGTTCTGCAGTAGGAGTCATCTCATCTGAATTGAATATATCTGCAGCAAGATCATCTATTTTGCCCTGATTGACTCAATTTTGAGATATGGAGTTTGTTTTTGGGGGAATAGTCCTCAATTTCTATTGAACTCTATGTTCATTTTACAAAAGAGTGCGGTGAGATTCCTTAGTAAAGCTAAATCCAGAGAACCATGTCAACCTTTATTTGTGGCATAGAAAATACTGACATTGACTTGCATCTTTATTCTAGAGAGTGTTTGTATGATCCACAAAAAAATATACCAAGAACATTCATTCAATGTTGGTATACCACACAAGGGATGTTGACTGTACGGTTTCCCTACTAATTCCTAGAAGTACATTGATGAAATAATCAATTATTTATAATGCCAAAATAGCTCATTATTTGCGAGTGGAATACTATACTTTGTCCACGACTTCTATTATCTTTGATGTATGAATTTATTTTCAACAACTGTTTCATCCCAACTCGACATAAAAAAATGTAAAAATTGAAGTTCCCTGTTAATATCAATTATTTGTCCACGACGTTGTACTTCCTCAAGCAAAACGATAGTGATTTTTCACATTAGTGAATAGTAGCGGTGAATAACCCTTATTCACTGGTCTAAAGTTCCATATATTGTTATATTGCGTACCCTAGGAACTATAGACCAGTGAATATTATGGTTATTCACTGCTATTATTCACTGTTGTGAAACATGGCCACCGTTTTGCTTGAGGAAGTAAATGTATTATGAATATTTTATACAGCAGTCGTGGATAAGGCCTAATATACCTTGCAAGAATTTCATGAAGACGCATTTAATTGAGCTTGTCATTTTTTATAATTCGTTCAATATCCTCTGTGACTTTTACTAGTATAGCTTCTACTTAGATGTTTTGTGCATATTTCACGTGATTTCATAGTTTCAATATTAGTTAAGTACTTTTAGGTACAATAAAGATTTTCTTCTTCTTTTATAGCTCAATTGCTCGAGTTCTATGATAGCTAAAAACATGATTCAAAAACTAATATGAATGATCTGACAACAAGATTCATAAGTACCAGCGTGCACCAAAAAATCTAGAGACTCTGGGGCATTTTTCTATATGGATTACCCTGTTTATTCGCACATTTTGTGGAGCATAACTGTTACTTCCATCATAGATTAACGACTCCCCCTTCCATCCACCCCTTCAATATCATTGACTATATCTCACGACATCGTTTTCGAACGCAATGGGTTAAACCACGTTAAACGCTTGTATACGGAGATGATTACATGTCGGAACGCAGTTCCCTAATAGCGCACAACGTCCTAGGGACGTCCCTATTTCGTACAATTCACGACCGAATGTCCCGAACCAAAAATAAGTGTCCTTGGGACGTCCCATCCCGTACATCTCCTGCAATGTCCGAGCAAGGACGTCCACGGAATGTCCCAGCTGGTACATCATTTCAAATGTCCAAGAAATAGCATCCCTTAGGCGTCCCACGTGGTACATTTTGTAGAATGTCCATGCAAGGACGTCCTTGGCATGCCCCTGATGGGATATGATTTTGAACGTTCCTTTAGGGACATCCATCGGATGTCCCGAGTAATACATATTCTGGCATGACTTCAGATCTTATATAATGTTCCTTCTAGACAACCATGAAATGTCCAGGATGGTAGATTCCTTCAAATATCTCTGCACAGACGCCCTTAATATTTCCAGGATCGTATAACAATCGAAATGTCCCTTAGGGATATCCGTCGGATGTCCCAATTGGTACATGAACTGTACTCTTTCAATGTCCCAGAAATAATGTCCTATGGACGTCCCAGTCGGTACTTTCAATATGTTGTCCCTGTGAGGACGTCAACTTACACCTCGCCGACAAATGATTGCTATACTATAAGTACTCTTCGTCAATGTCCTTCACGTAAGTCCATTGGACATCCTTGGGAAACTTTTTGGGGATTTTCTACGGACCATCAACTCAACTGGATGTCCTAATCAGTTATGCAAGATCTGGTCCTAGAGGGACTCAGGAAAATTCAAATTCAAGAATGATTCTCACGTCCCTGGGACATCCTATGGATAACCAATTGACATCCCTCAGCGTTGCTGATAGGTTGTCCTATGGATGTCCTAAAGATGTCCTCTGTAGTGCTTGATGAGGAATACTGTAGAATTTGGGTATTTGATAGTTGTCCCAGGGACATCCCTCAAGGACGTCCCTAGTTGGTCCCCAAGTGGGACATTTGTGCGTCCCACAGACGTCCAATGGACGTCCACGGTACCTGAATGTCCCGACAGGACGTCCTAAGGATATCCATGGGACATATAAGTGTGTTATTAGGGTTGACTATAGCTCGAAGGGGGTGCATTTTAGTGCACATCATTATATGAATAGAAAGAATTTTATCTTGATCCAGATAGAACGTACTTAAGATATTTGAATTTCTGTTTATTGAATAGGTAGTATTATCTTATATTCCCCTTTTCTCCAAAACCAGTTGTGTGATTCTAACAAAAAAATGTAACAGCTTGAATTTGAAGACGCAGGGTATAACATGAAGTTTTAGTCGTATTGTAGCCATCTAGTGGCAGAGCTCTAAGGTAGGATCAAGAGATCGCGACACACACTGTTTGGCGCTGCCATCTATAGTCACACGTACAGACCCTTACGTTATGAGATCTAGCAGTAAGCTCAGATTTGAATCAGTTATTTAATTTCCGTTATTTCGTTTCTTCTTTGTTCCTATTCCAATATTGGTACTTGTTGATATGTGATATCATTTGATTATTTTTTAATATTTTTTTCTATATTTTGTTATTGGTACCAAATGATGCACATATAATTAATTGAAACCAACCTAAATTACGTATTGCTTTTCCTTTTTCCTGAATATTGGAGATTGGACCCAGCCCCTGTGAATATATTATAATATAATTATAAATTGAAATAGATTTGAATGAAATGTCTATTTATTTATTTAACAAAATCCATGTGTCCTGACAACCATCATGACATCAAAGATTAATATTATATAATTCTATACAGGATACTCTACATCCCCCTCCTTCGCAAAGTGAAATATTATATGATTATTATAGATCCAATTTCTGAGGAGGTTTGGACACTCTACCATATGAGGTGAGAGTTACTTTCTCAACGATGTTCTCCTCTGAACTTGTATCTTCACATTCATTCTTATCTATAGATACACTATCATGATCGCTATGGAGGTAGAAGGAAGGTATTCCTATTGGGTCAAAATTTGAGTATATAGAATTATTTCTTCAACATTTTTGTCTACATAATGCTGTTCTGATTCCAATTCTGAACTATCGTTACCCAAAATGTTGTTTTCATCATTCTTGCTGAGTTCAATAAAAAACTTAGTCTTCTTATTTTCAACTATTTAATTTTTCAAAGAAGATGATTGTTGTAGATTGTTTTAATGAATTAGTTTGATATACTTTGTATATAATTTGGAATTGAAGAAGAAGGCGTTGAGTTGTTTAGAAAAAGTGACATAAAATAAATAAAGATATAAAAGTCAGAAAATTTGGAAAATCATTTATTTTTGGAAGTAATAGAAATACTGAGTCTATTACATTTGGTCCTTCGCGTTCAAAAGACGAACTAGCACTGTGGACAGCAGTTTCGACAAATCGACAAAAGTTGACTTATGACCGACTCCTCCAGGAAAAGAGAAACAGCTGGAATAAATAGAAATCTTGACGAGAACTATTTGTGGCCCAAGAACTTTGGAGAACCTAGACATAATATGGATGACAATGCCAAAAAACCAGAAGGTGACATTCCTGATGGTAGAATCATCTCCGAAGCTCAAGTCATGGGCGACAACAGGTCATCTGTTTCCCGACATTCTATTCCAAATAGGACGAATACATCATCTAGACATTCTACACGTACTAAGTGTTCAAATACTTCTAAGGCAAGTGTCGATCTTCAACGTATGAAAGTTACGTTGGAAGCCGAAAAAGCCAAGCAGGTTTTGTTGAATGAAGCCTTGCAAGAGAAATTGAAATTAATCGAATTAGAAAAAGCCTATCGTGAAGCTGAGATTCTAGATCAGGACGAGCGACGATCTCGAATCAGTAGTCGACATACAGGCTGTTCCAGGCAGAGTGTGATAGATATTTGTCACCAGTCTGTAATAAATAAACAACCACCAAGACAAGCCGATGGAACATATGTGGCACAATGGATTGATCAGTGTCCTTCCATATACGAGGATCCTGTGATGATATCTTCTCGAGAGATGAACTATCTCGATGGACAAACGATTGCAGTACAGAAAAATCCAGGAAAATCATCGTCTTCAAGTACAAAAGAACCGATTATTCAAATGACGACAGATCATATAGACAAAATTTGCCAGATCATGAAAAGCAATTGTGACAACAGTAATCGTATTCCAGGACTTGGAAAACATATGAGCCTACCAATATTTGAAGGGAATCCTGAGGAATGGACACTTTTTTAT